CAGGTTATAAGGTGGTGAAGTACTAGGTTATTGAAACAGTCATGCTGTGACCTCTATTGTTATATTGTTATGTCCTGTTTCATCTCAATCTCCCCCTTATTGTTTCAAAAAAAAAATTATTTAGTCATTTCTTATGTTTGTCTTAATTAAAGAAAAAATTCAAAAAAATTAGGATATATAAATAGTAACTCTTTTCGATTTCCTATTAACTTGTTTTGAAGTCCTGTAGTACTCCCACGATCTTGTTTTGACTGATTAGACTCTGTTCCATTCTATATGATAGTATCAAGTTTGAAGACATAGGCAACTACTTTGAAGACAATAAGATTCACTAAGATACCCATTCTGGTTTGACTATTGTCTTCTTTGGAAGTCCTGTAATGTTTACAATGCCTAAGTTTTATTGGTCTTGTTCTCTACTGTTTTGTCCAACTTTATAATATCTAATAAGATAGACAATTCTTTTTAAGGAAACAAGGGACAACGTTGATAACCATTGTTGATAAACTTGTACTCTGTTCTACACCATGTGCTACGTCTATCCTTGGTATTGACTGACAGCTTTGTTTTGCCATATTTGACTGTATTCTTCCCCCCCCCCCAAAGAAAGTAATAAGCACTAAGGAGTAATAAAATCCAAGATGTGTAAATTTTGTTGTAAAAAAGAGAGGGAAAAAAAAAAAAAAGAAAAGGAGCTCTAACGGATATAACAGCAAGTGTGTTTGGGGGTGTTAAATAGCTGACTTTATCAATGTTTTTGGAACATTGAACACAGCTGTTTGCAGTCTCCCTGTTTGAATGTCCACCTTGTGTTCTTTGATACTGTGATTTGAGGAACTATTTTCAAGAAAATAGTGTGTAATCTACTAGCAGGTAATTTCTTACTGTTATGGTTTTTTGTTTTGTTTTGTTTTGTTTTGTTTTGTTTTGTTTTGTTTTGTAGTTCTGTATTGCGTGTACCCTTACGCCGCTTTGGTTTGTTTTGTGTTTTTCTCTTTTTCCTCTTAAATTAAAAAAAAAAAAAAAAAACACTTGAGTCAGAGTCTACTCAGCTCTGCACAGAGACATGATCAATTAAAAAGGTTTAGTCCAAGACTGAGGGTTAACTTGGCCTATTGCCCATTGGACCTACGGCTTCTTCTACTCGATCCCTGTGCTTTTTTAGCAATTCAAGCATAGAAAATCCTTCAGCCCTGTCATAAAACCAAGACATTTATGCAGAATCACGCTGCCACTTGTAAGAGTAACTCAGCAGTTCCTGAGCGAAATTAACAACCTGTTAGCCCACCAAGCACGGGCTGATGGTGCCACACCATCATGGAAATTTCAGTTGCCCATGACTGCCAGGTGGCTCAAGTCTGTCACCAAAAGAAGTATCTTTTGAAACCAAGTCCCTGGCTAATGAAAATGGTTAGACTTTAGCTCGACTTCAAGAAATCAACAAAAACCTGCTGCTCTAGCCTGAGAGCAGCAATTTGATCATTCTGTAGAACACTTGCTGCTTCCCTCCGGCTGAAACCCCTATTTCGTTGAAGCTCCTTCACCCTCATAAAACTTTGCCAGGCGGGTTTCATTTCTATCATTTCATGGTCAAAAGATCTTTCCTGGTCAGGAAGACCAAGATTCTGTCATCCACGCAAACCTTAAGATACATACTGTGTAAGGATCCTTTGGGTCACCTGGACATCTAACCATGTGGAATATTCCTCGCCTCCTGCAGCTCTCCGTTATAGTCTTCCCATTTACATGTTCATCTAAACCCTCTGCAATCCATTTGCACTGCCAGTTGTGCCACTTCTGGGAGATAATCCATTCCATCAATTCATTACCTGCTGCATGAAATGGTATTTCCACTGACTTGTCCTGAACTTGTCTCCCTGTTCTCAGACTGCTATATTTCAGGATCTCATGAACAAGTCTCTGCGTATCTTATCCACACCATTTATAGTCTCATCATCTCCTGCTAACAGCCTTTGCCTTGCCAGCAGCCTTCTGATTTCTCATCATTCTGGTAGTTCTTCAGGGACTCTCTCTATCTCTGCTTTAGCCCTTACTCCATGCTGCAGGCAAGAATATTTCACAGTTTTAGATGACAGTAAGACTATATCCTCAGTGGAACATTTCCCACACCTGACAAAGGTGCATTGCTGTCCTGGACACAGCCCCTCGTATTAAACTCAGACTTTGTAAACTGATGGAAACTGTCTCCCACCAGTGGGTGTGGATAAGCGGATCCATGCTGGTCAAAGCCATCATCCACCTATCTAAAAAGCCCAGCATCACTAGAAAAGCAAAGCAAGCAGAGTGAGTGCATCTTACCTTTCAAAGCAGCTCAAGTTCAGCGCCTAACACCCCACTGATTTTCACATCTGAAAGGGTGGCAACACCATTTGGGCAAAATGTATTGATGTGAAACCAGAGGTCATCAACTGTTCAAATGGGGGAGGGGGGGCTCACCCAAAAAATGAGCTTCAATTTCCAGTCTCAGCTCATGAATCTGCTACTTTGGAATTTTCTTTTCTTAATTAGTTGCTAATGCTCTGTTTCACTCCATTTAGAGCCCACTAACCTCTTGATCATCTTTGAATATCCTTACTAAAACCAAGAAAAATAATGAGCATTAAGCACGATGTAACAGCACTGTGGTTGCCTAGGGCCATACGTGAGTTCATAGGAGTTGGGATTTCACTGCCAGCTAAATAAAAAAATAGGTGGGTGCTTGAACCTGCTTTTTCATAAAGGATGCATCATCCATCCAGAATGAGAACCTTCTGGCCAGATGCCCACTCCTTTTCTTCTACCATAAGTGCATCTCGCTGGTAATGTAACTGTCTCAAAATATTTTGCAGCCTTGGAGATCCAATGCTACAAATGGGTGATCTGGCCCATCTGTGCGTGCCTGATTTGTCTGCCACAGATGCTACTGGCTTTTGCACTAAACTTTTTTCCTCATGAATTGAGATAGCGCAGAGGTTCCACCTTATGGGTAGACCTTTGGTTTTTCTTCTGACAGCCACATCTATAAAGCTGTAAGCTCAAGTTAATTGCCTCAGTTTCTCCTTGTTTTCTCTTAAAAAGAAAGCTGTAATATTGCCCAGCAAAGTGTTTTCAATAGCCTTCACTCAGTAAACATCATCTCGGGCCTGCACATCACCCTGTTCTGGTGTGAAATTCCCCTCATATGCTATCTTCTCCTCTTGTAGATGATACAGTGGTTAAAGGATAGATTGGGAGGCTGGAAACACAGAATTCAAATCTGGGCTCCACCATTTCATAGCTGTGACCTTGAGGAGGCTACTTGCCTCTGTACCTTAGGAAAAGGAGAAAAATACTATAGCTCATAAATGTGTAAGACTAAATGCTATATTGCATGTAAAGCTCTAAAAAGAAGCAGATTCCTTAATCTTCAGGTCAGCATTTAAACCCTCTGGTCATCCCCACCTCACCCCCACCTCCAGACCTGTCTCCCTTAATGTTCCAGTAGACCCTAAACTCTGGATTCAGGCTGCTGGCGTTCTAGAGGAATCAACTCTATATAGACAGATGATTGTAGATCAAGGTGTCATTGCAGATGGAGCTTTACCTACCCGGTCACATATCTACTGAGGAAACCTCCTCAGTCTGGCACTCCCAAACCGCTGTTTCAACACACATCCAGGCTCCGAGACCTACCTGATTACTTGCTACCCCACCTATTTCTGGGCTCCCTTCCGCTTTCTTCAAATTCAAATCTGGATTGAGTTATTTCAGCCTAGATTTCTGGAAACATTTTATCTAACCTCTCTTTGAAAGAATACTAGTCTGGGGTTTGCTTTGGTTTGGTTTGGTTATTTGTTTTTCTCTTTCCCTAAATATTCTTGGCATTTCTGGTTAGAGTGCTGAGTTTTCTCTTTAGCCTTTCATCTCGGAACCATTTGGCTTTTCCTGCATAAACAAAAGGGTTCTCTTGTTGCTAGTTTGTGAAAGGTGGTTGCACTAGTTATTTAATGACCACACGCAGGGGCCAACAGACATCACCGCCCAGGCAGTGAGGAGAGACTGAATCCCACTCCGCACCTGGCGTTTGTTCACCTGGTACCTGAGCACCTGCCAACTGCAGTCAAAGAGAGCAGACTCTCATATTCATGTCATGGAAAGACACCCCTCCTCCAGGACTCTGGAAAGACCCCAGGTGCCCCACAGCCAGGTCCTGGCATCACCACCTTCCCAACCCACAGGAAGCTTGGAGACCCTACCCTGGACCATCCAGCAGTGGCACAGGCCTTTCCATTCTGGGAATTAGCCCCAAGAGATCTGAATAAAAAATAAATGGGAGAGCAGCCAGGTAGGAGAGGGAACCCTGAGAACTTGCTGAACTTAACCTTCCCCTGCCTCTGCTTCAGACAGTCAGTCCTGGGGAAGTACAGTTCTCCCTAACACCTTTAGCGAAGGGCAGTAACTTGCGATGTTGCTCATGCCCCTGGGGGGACACAGGGGTGGGAGGGGCCGTGCAGCCTGTCTTGTCCGTCTGTCCAGTCGGAAGCCCGCAGGCCTTTCATCCACCCTGCGTCTGGTCTCCTTCCCCAAGGCCTCCCACCCGGTTCCCAAGAAGGCTGTTCTGGGTCTGCCCCAAGCCGTGCGTCCCGTCCGGGAAGCTGGCGGGGCTGTGAGAGCCGCCGGCTGGCTCCCCCGGGAGGAGGCGTCTGTCCTGAAGGAGGCGCACTGCGGGACGGCACCGAGGGGCAGGAGCGCGTCACGGCGGGGCGGGGAGGGGACTGGCGGGAAGACCGCGAAGGAGGACGCGCCCGAGGCGTGTGCGCCCGAGTCCTGAGCACCCGGCGACTGGCCGGCACGGGGCAGAAAGCTCGGGCCGGGCCAGCGAGGTGCAGAGACGGCGATCTATTCGGGAAGTCGCGTCTGCGACACGCGGGGCAGGACGCAGCTGCGGCGAGCCCTCTTGGTGTGCGCCGGCCCGGGAGCCACAGGTACGAGCGGCGCGGCTTGGACCCCGCTGACCTCCCCGGAGGCGGCGCCCCGCCCAGACCTGGCGGCGGGAGGAGCCTGGCGCACTCCCTGAGCTAGGGTCGCGGTCACCCGACCTGCACTCGCCGCTCCCCGGGGCCACTCCGCCGGCAGGAAGCCCGTACCAGCACCCCAAGGTGAGTTTCAACACTTTCTGGTTTTGCCGCTGTAGTTTTTCAAAGTGCATTTTAAGTTGCACCCTGTTGGGAAGGGAATTTCCCACTCCTTTCTGTTTGAGAAAGAAGAGACCCGCCCTAGAGAGAGGCTAGAGGGAAGGGTGACTTCTAAAAGCCTTGGTTGGATCAGGACTTTGGTTCTGCTCTGCGTCCCTCGGTTGTGGGGACTCCTGGCGGTCTCCCATCTGTTTCTGGGCTGAGGCCACATGGGCTCCTCGGGAGTTTTGGGTGGAGCTATGCTGCTCCACTTGATCACAGCTGCCTGTGGGAGCGGCCTGAGAGGGACAGATAGACCTACTGCCTTGTGAAAGCCAAGGCCTGTGACCTTCCAAAAAACATCCTGGGCTAGAGTGTTTTCTTAATCATTCGAGGTGATGCCAAAGATTCAAGGCGGCCAAGAAAGTGGCCCAAAGCAAAATGTGGCCTGGAGCCAGGGGTGGACTAAGACCTGTGTGCTCTTCTGAGTCTTTGGAGGATTTGCTGTGACACAGATTGCCTCCCAACCTTGCTGACTCTGTAAATGGCTCCACTATCTGACCCTCTCCCACCTGTGAGGGTAGAATGGGGAACACAGCAGGACCCATTTCCCCAGGATTTTGAAGCGCCTAGCAGAATACTTTGTATAACAGTGAAGGATAGCTATTAGCTGTGGTGCACACCAGCCCTGCCTAACTGTAAGGGAAACAAGCAGAGGCCAGAGCTTGGCCTCGGTTAACATACACCAGCAGCCAGGTGCTTGATGACAACGAGACTGCTGCCTGCATTCTGCAGAAAGAGGAGGGGGAGGAAAGGCATACTTGCCCATCTTGGAAGCTCCTGTCCTCCAAGGCACTATGTATATTTCAGTGACTCAGGTACAGCTCATAAGAATCTGAGGCTAATTTTATGGACTCCTTCCTCATTTGGAGGTCCTGTTGGTTAATAAGAGAATTTTGAGTTGCAAAGAGCAAAATTTAAAGACCACATTGATGCATCTTTGTCTAACCCTTCTACAAATGGCATGCAAGTTCCACCTGAAGGGTTCCACAAGAGTCTTCCTGGCCTTTAAACTAATTCAGTTCCATCAAGCACTTAGCTAAATAGGACTGTCCATTGCCCCAGTGCTGGGCTGCAGAGAAATCCAATCAAGTCTTTCCTTTTGTCTGAAATTCCACCTCTCCATCTCTACCCCAGATATAGTTTTAGGAAAGAGGTAAATTGCAAAAGAAATGTTTCTCTGGCCTTTGTACACTGTCAGTATTCACCTATAGTATGAAAAGATGACTTCTGCCTTTTTCTCTCTAGGCTGAACTCAGCAGGATAAGGGACACTCAATAAGCTATATTGTTGACTTAATCAAAGAGGGAGGTACATCCACCCCACCCATTCATTGAGCATTACTGCACCTGCTGTGCATTGGCCAGTATGCTGGGGCCTTGGAGTCTGAAGTTAGTACTGAGAGTTTCCACTTTTAAGGAGCCCTAGTCTGGTAAAGAGCCAGCTACGGAAATGAACAGTTTAGAACAGCATTGGAATCATATAAAGGAAGGAACAGGAATTCCTTTCCAGGAGTTATCCAGGAAGCTAACACCTCAAAAATGATGCATGAACAGGGGCCTTAACACTGATTAGTAGTTCCCAGGGAAAGGGTACTTTGTTCAGTGGTTAAATGGCAGGTTGGAAGATCAGCATTTAATGGGAATTATGCCACTATACCATCAAGGGTGCACTCTCTCCTGCAGCAATGGGAATCTACTTTTAGTTTTTTGAGACAGCATCTCTGTATTGTAGTCCAGGCTAGCCTTGAACTTGCTATGTATACCAGACTGGTCTCAAACTCACAAGCTCTTGCCTCAGCCTCCTTAGTGCTAGAATTATAGGCATGCACTACCACACTGGATCGTTTTTGTTGGTTTTTGTTGGGGAAAGAATACAGTCTAATCCTTGTCAAGATTTGTATTGAGACAAAGAATAGAGGCTGGCTTGGAGAGATAAGTAAATAATGAAGACCCCTTTGAAGACTATGTCAATAGAAACTGATGAGAAGGAATGGATTTTAGTGATGCTTAGGAAGTAGAACCAAAAGTATCTAATGGCCAAGGGAATGCAGTAAGAGAGAAATGAGCGAGACAGAGGATGATGGATCAGTGCTATTCATGGAAATCATATAAGCTAGAGGAGGATGTCTGGGGAGCCAATGGTGGGAGACAGCAGCAATTAGCACCTCAATCATATTTCAATTGGATATACCCCAGAGGTGTCTGCAGGGAGGCAGAAGGTCGAAAATTTGGCATTTACCTTCTGGACCCCAGGCGGAGGCCAAGTCTACTCCAATTTGATTGTCTCAGGAGCTGTGCATAAAAGGAGTCTTGAAGATAGCTAAAGAGGCCTGTGATGGCACCATCAGTGAGACCACATTGACACTGAAGAAGCTTGACACTCTCAATAGTGGTGCCCTGTAGGCATGATTTTCATATCATATGGAACGATAACTCTCTCCACCTTCAAGGCTTTCCTGAGATGCCTGGCAGGGTAATTTCTGAAACAGTGCAGAGAATTCTTGGTTTATAGCATACAGTGAGTACAGATGTGTTTAACTAAATGAGTGAATCCCCAGGATGCCACTGAACAGAAATATTTTGCTCAGTTGTAAGATCTGCCAAGACCTCTCCAGAACTCATACCCAAATCTTTATAGTTACTACACCTGTGAGGGAGAGTCCAGCCTTTATTATAACAAGGAAGATGGCCTTGTCAGACAGACCTTACAGAGTTCTTTTGGTCTGGCTGCCAACATCTTGATTAGGACTTTATGCAACTTGAATAGAGGAGAAAACCTTGAATTTGGAGCTAGACAGATGTGGATTCAGTTCCTGGCTTGATCGCTTATTAGCTGCCCTTGAACAAGTCTTTGACTCTAATCATTTCCCTTGTATTTAAAATGAGTATAATTATTATTCACCAGCGTAGTGGTTAGAATCACAACCCAATTGAAAAAGAAGGCACACTTACTGTGCTACATAAATTGTGAGGCACTATAAAAATGTTAGGGCTTTTATTATTATTACTAATCTTATCTCTTGAAGCTACCCAAATCAAATGGGTTGTGTGGGTGTAGGATCTAGACAGCACCAGAAGCTCACACTTGCAGCTTTTCAATTGCTCAAAATATTTTAAAGCAGTAATGATAAAAGTTCCCTTCCATCATATCAACAATATGCATCTATTCTGGTCAGAGCCCAAAGAAACCATTGCTCTGCTAATACATATGTATGCTGGTTGTTCATTGAACAAGGATTCCTAGGAGCTCATGGGGCTAAAAGTGCCAGGATTCCACCTGGGCACGGGCCATGGACCCACCCCACTTGCAGCTGAGCCCACCTGGAAGGGGCACTTTTTTCTAGTCCTCATCAAGGTGCTGGTTAAGCTCACAGTTGACCTGAATCTGAACAACAGTTGACTTCTTAAATTTATAGTTTTCCCTCATTCCAGCCAAGGAAGTCTAATAGATTCCAACCCAGCAGAGCTCAAAGTTTATGCCAACATCAAAATCTTCAAGCAAACAGAATTCTAGTAGAAGTTGGTTGTTGATAAAGAAGAGGAAGTAACCATAAATTCAGAGACTTCAAATGGAAAAACACTTTAGAAATGAGCCAGCTCCACCCCCTTTCTTTACAGATGAGTAAACTAGGGTTCAAAGACGGGAAGTGTGTGCCCAGTTACACAGCTGGTTAATGGAGTCACCAGAATGCAAGCTCCATCCCTTCCTGTTCAGGAATACCTAGTACCATCTGGAGTCCCTGTTTCCTGGATCTGCTGTACCCCACCACAGGACACATGCAGATACTCAAACACTGGCAGAGTGGTAAAACAGAAGACCTGCCCTTAAAGATTGGACCTTCCCCAGGACCCCCTGGGGTAAACCTGGAGCAGATCCTGCAGAAATGCAGGTAGATCTCATCCATTGAGACAGTCTTCAGAGCACACCTCCCCTTCTGTTTCCTCAGTCCTTAAAGTTTTCTCAGGAGTTATCCAAGTCTCTTCAAAAAAGGAGACCACACTGAATGCTTTAATTGCAAGGCTTTATCAAACTTGTCCTATGGACTGTTTGGTCTCAGAGATTAGAAGGTGTCGGAGACAGTGCCTGAGTCAGCATTACACCTCAAATACCAATACAGAACTTACCAGTGATGAGAAAGACACCAGGTAAACAACTTGTACTATGGAACAGTTTCAATAAGAGAGAGGTAAGGACAGGAGCAAAACAGACTTTTTTTTCCTCTCCAAGCAACAAAGGGAAAATCTGCAGCAAATTCTTTGAAGAGCAGTCCCTAGGGCAGCAGGACAGCTCAGGTGTCTGGCGTTATCCCCACATCAATCTGAGCCATCTAAACAGACCATCAACCAGGGACCTTGGTGGACATTCAGTGAAGGTTGGCAGAAGGGAGATGAGTTCTAAAATGACCTTCACACAAACACAAGATTCCTTTCTCAGGGGCAGCACCCAAGGGACCATGGCAGTGTTCAGTCCCAATCCCTGCTCCCAGGAAGAGATTGGCTCCCACAATTGTAAGCAAGTTGCTCCATTGAGTCTGTCTCTAAGAAATGAAAGAAAACATAACCATAACTACATTTCTTAGCCAGAATTGAAGATTGTGCTTCTAAGCCACTGCATACTTGCTCTGAACTATCTCAAACTCTTCTCTCCCCACGGGATGCATTTTTCAGTTGAGAGTTTTTCTCTTCAAATATGACCTTCATTTCAAGAAGAATAGGTTTAAGAAAAGCCTACCAGCAACTTCATGTAGTTTTCTAGGCAAGTCAGAAAAGAAGATTGGCATAAATGAAGGGAAAATATATAAGAATAGCAATAGAACAATTGCATGTCATAGAACCTGTAATCTTTAGGTTGTCTGAGAAAGAAACAACTGGGGGTCATGGGCTTAAAGGAAGATGTGATGTGTCCAACTTGTGATTCTCGGGTTGTACATGCCTGGCTTGCTTGGACTGCACTGGGTGAAAAGGAATTGTCTTAGGCTTGCATATAAAATAGATAATATGGTTACTGTATATTGGTAACATAACTTCTTTTTAAAAACATATTTATTATACCACAATCATGTCCAACCCCCATGCCAAAGAAACAGTGAGGGAAGTTCCATTAGCTTGAGCATTATGGGGGCAGAATGATAGTAGACACACTGTGCATTAGCCTACATGACTTAAGACCATGTGTGCTATAAATAAGAGAAAATATTGCTGCTCTCTGAGTCTGGAGTCTACTTATTCTCTCTCTGTCCCAAGTAAGATACTGAAACTACATCCTTCTGCTTGTGGTTTCTAATCTTAGACCCTTATATACCTCCACTGAGGGACCACCACCCCTCTACATGTGGTCATCTATCATGTAAAACCTTGGGTATAGCCTAAAAGTTCCAAAGAGCTACTCATATACCCTGACCTGACACCACCCAGGATCAAACACCAGGGTTCAAGTGACCTTCCAGTGATTAGGAGCCCAGAGTAAACAGGTGTCCAGCCCAGAGTAAACAAGTTTTCTTGGCTTCCTAAGACTTTTAGTGTGAATGTTAGGCTCTCAATAGCCACTGATTCAGTGGTGATGCTGCAGATAAAGATGACAACTATGGCTGGTCCCCACCCACCAGGTTGTCTTATGAGCACATTATAACATATGTTGGTTATTCGACATTTTGCAGGAGAAATTTCAAAGCCAACAGAAAATATGCAGACTTACTGCAGCTATTAAGCCCCCTTGATGTAAATTACAGTAGTTTCCATAACCTCCTCTGTCTTTCACTCCTGACTTGTAATACCCCCTCCTGTCCAAGGCCCACAATCTCCTGAGTAGCACTTGCCAGCATAGCACAGCAGGGCCGAGTTTAAAGCATCCAGGCTCATTACACGTTGACCTACACCATCCCATAATGAAACCTCCAATGGGAAAAGGAAGCATATTTGCCCACCGTACCAGCTAGATGTATCTTGTGCTGAGCAAGTCCAGTTCCCAACTTAGAAACTGGGACCCTGCCCTGCAGGACGTTTGGACCAAAGCCTTTGCAGAATGAGGATAAAAGCAGTGCTGTGCCAGGTGCCAGAGATCCTTGCCGATTTCCAGTGACTGCTCTTCCAGGTTTGCATGAGGAAGACAGAGCTTGGCTCTGTGGATGGACAGCACGGCTTTCCAAATCTGGCCATGGAAAGAATACTTCATTCCCAGTGAGAGGCCTTGTGTCTGCCCACACTGTCTAGCACAAGGGAGGGGACAGAGTCACAGGGCTGGTGCCACATAGAGAAGAAGGTCAGATGCTCTTGTCTGACATTTTCCAGGAATAAACTTTTGGTGGTTTGAAAAAATATTATTCCTGCAAGGTGGGGCTTCCAAGTGAGGGAAAAATACTTAACCACTGGGTGTACAGTCATTAAACATTTGCTGTTGGACTGAATTAATAAATAGACACCAAAGAGATCTTTAACATCATTTTATGGTTCTAAATGATTAATAGCAAGAGCTAGCCCATTCTTTTCCATGTAAAATCGATCAGTTTTTCATGAGATTTTTGCATTATCTCCCCTTGAATGTTTTATTAAGGTGGAATTCACATTATATAAAATTAACCATTCTAAAGTAAACACGCCCATGGCATTTAGTATGTTCACAGTGTTGTACAATCACTGCCTTCATTTAGCTCTAAAATATTTTTATTACCCTAAATATAAAACCCACTCAGCAGTTTTCCTTATTACTTCCTCTTTTCAGTTCTGGCAGCCACCCACCTGCCTTCTCATCCCATGGAGTGAGTTACCCCAGGTACTTCCTATCAATGGAATCAGACATTCTGACCTTCAGTGAGTGACTTTTTCATTTAGCGTAATATTCCTAAGGTTCATCTGTGTCATAGTATGCAGTGGTATTGTATACACAGAACAGCCAAAAATAGTCTGTTCTGTGTACACACCACAATTTGCTTACCCATTCATTTGTTGATGGGCATCAGAGTGATTTCTGTCTTTCAGCCTTTGTGAATAATGATGTGGCAAACAGGTGCCCCAAGGATCTGAGTGCCTGCTTTCAGGGACTGACACCAAGGAGTGGAACTGCTATTCGCATGATAATTCTATGTTTAACTGTTCCGTGAACTGCCAACCTGCTTTCCTTTTCCCTATTTTTTTTTTTACCAACATGCTTATCCATTCAGGTTCCCTTCTTGAAGATAAAATGCGTATTAATATATTCCTATGCTTGGTCCCTTATTTGATGCCTTTGACCTTAGACTTTCAGAAGCAGAGTTGTTAGGATGCTTGAAATAGAAAATATTTGGAGTAAACTAAAAATCCTTGATGTAACTAAGTAGGAGCCAAAAGCAACATTTGTAGATTTCTGTGTTTGCTAGGCATCCCATGGAGCCTTTTGCCTCTAGCCCCTCACTTAACTCTCAAGATAACTCCATGAAAGATGTACTGCTGTTATACCCACTTTACAGGTGAAGAACCTGAGGTCTCCATCAAAGGCTAGGTGCCTTCCTCCTGAGTCCCACAAAGGAAGGACTCCTCAAAGAAGCTATCACTCATGATGAACAAAAAGCCATCTGTTTCTCAGGAGCTTACAATATATTTTGGCAGGACATTCCCAGAGCACAGAATCTGGCAAACTAACTGCTTGCTAAACGTAGGTTGAGAAATATATAAGACTTTGTCAGATGGAACATCCATTCCCTGTCACACTGTTATGGGACTTCAATGCTTGGCAATTATATTTCAACTCAGTGAATTTCTCAAAAAAGACGTGAGCAAGAATCAGGAAAGGACGCAAGAACAGGCCTAAAATGGCCATTGTTGTTCTCTTTACCTCTGAATATCTCTGTGTACCTGAAGAGAGAATAAGAAAAAGAGAGAGGAAGGAAAGGGACAGGAGGTCTTTCTAATGACCTTGCATGGTGACCTTTCCATGCTCAGAGGTGAAAATACGCAGAGGAGCATGGGACCCAAAAGAAAAAGATATACCGGTCGGCCTCTTTCCAAAACCATGATTTCCGCATTCCACCTCAAAGTCTTACTATTCCTTCAAAGACTCTGAGCTTATCTCTGCTTAGGGCCTGAGGCAATTTACCGCAACCAGAGGTACAAGGAGCAGTAGCTTCCCAGGAAGGTCCAGGCTCCCCACATGGTCCTTGTCGCCCCTTCTTCTTACTGTCAGAGAGATGTGGGTGTACCAGCTTCAGTCAGTCATTTTCAACTCTTCTTTGCAAAAGGAGAATTATAAAAACTCTTAGGAGGCCTGTGGCCTTGCTCTAGATGCAGAAGCTGCCCCAACAATAACTCAGGCTGCATGTTTAAAGCATGCATTACTAAAACAAAGCAAAGCAGGCACAGACTGTACCTTCAGGGACCTGCCACCCAAGAGCTTGCAAGCACCTAACTGCATGTCCCTTCCTTCTTTCTCAGAACTGCGAGAAGTGTCCTCTTCCCTGTGATGAGTGCCCTGGGTTCTTCACATACCACACAGTCTCAGGACTGTGCCATTCTGGAATTGCTGTCACCTGCTTTGTCCCTGCTCAGGTGGCTTGCCAGGTGGATAACCTAGTTATCCGAGCCATAACTTGTTGCTTTGGGCTGCAGTCCCAACAGTGACAGTTTCCCACGTTACAAGGTCTTCCTGCTGTATCCTACTGCCCGCTCCCCTGCTCTCCTACCTCATGGGCTGGCCGTGTATGGATACAGGAGCTCAGATTGCCAGTGAGAACATCCTGTGCTTGTGTAAGTAACACACAGCCCTCTCAGAGACATTCCTAACTCTAGTTCTTTTCCATTCCCCAAGGCCATAACCAGCCAGTTGGTGAGTCAGTCAGTAAGTGTTTGTATGCCTCGAGCATTTGAGCACCATACTAGACACTGGTGATAGCCAGAGAAAAAGTTTGCAAATGACTTAGTGTAAAGTGGGAAAGTAGACATGAACAGCATCTGTAATACAGAAAGTAGTCATCTTGCAGGCATTGTCAGGGAGATGAGGTGGTAGAAAAGGAAAGAGATTTTCAAGGAAGATGGTCTCTATATAACACATGATTCCAGAAAAGGGCCTTAAGCTCACCTCTGTCTGGTGGGAGCTACGTAAGAGTCAGTCTTTGCTACAGTTTTGGGCTTCTCACTGGCTGTGAAAAAATTAAAGCCGTCTTTCCGTGGCACACAGGAGTCGTCATTGCATTCGCTCTGCAATGGTGGTGAACTCCTCACCATTGGACAGCAGGCATCACAAGCTCAAGGCCCACTGAGAGCCCTATGGATAAAGCTCATATTCACTGAACACGTACTCTGTACCAGGCACTGTTTTAACTATATTATATGCACTATTTAACTCATCTTTTATCCACAGCAGTCTTAGGGTGGAAGGTCTATTCCCATCCTTCTTTTATAGATCAGTAAACTGAGGTATAGAAAGGTAAAATTACATTAGCCAGGGAGTGCAGGGGCCAGGCTTCAACTCAGGCTACTCCATTTAAAAGGTTGGTGCAAGCAGTGTAAGAGCAGAGGGACAGTGCAATGTGTAAACTAGAGAACTGCACGAATTCCAGTCACTGGCCACATCTGCCTTGCGGCTTCCCATCTGCAACCTTGGGTCTAGGTTTGTTCATCTTGAGGCAAAAATCTTATGTATTGTTTTCAACCCTTGTGCTAAACATTGGCAATGTGAGTCTTGGTGTGTATGATAGAGAGACAGAAACAGAGAGAGAAAAAAATAGCAAAGATAGGAAGAAAACAAGAGATCCCTTTGAGCCAGGCTGTGGTTACCTAGAGCCTTGTGACAGATTTGAAGTTACGAATATCATCAAACCAAAGGATAAACAAAGAGATAAACTATGGTAGGCTGAGATGAAGGCGAGAGATAGAAAACCCATTATTCATTCATGTTTTCCTTGACACAATCATCTACCTTCTTGATCAGCCATGAAAAATGTCCTCTGAAGGTCCTTAGACCAAGTCATCATCAGCCACCTCTCACTTCCAGCCCAAGGAGTTCAATGTTTCTGGTCATTCAAGTCACACTACCTTATGAGGTATGGAAGGAAAGGAAATTTCTCTCCTCCATTCCCTCCTCCACGGGCCGCAGCCTGGAGGAATGCCCGCCACATGCCAGGCTGCTCCCTGGAATGCCCTGGCATTCACAGCAGCTGCCAGAGAAGAGCCTAGGAAATGGAGGGCTGGAGAAGAGAGCTGCTTGAGTGTTGTCATAATAACAGGGGGAGGTTGGAACCTCCAGATCTGGGCCAGAGCCTGGGCCACCTTGATTGAATTTTTCGTCCAAGCCACCTGTGTTTTCTTGAGCAGCCTGGAATCCCCTTTCTTTCTCATCTTTGTTGTTTTTAAACATCCTAATCATTCTACAGGTGCCCATTCAAACCTCACCCTCCTCCAAGTCTGCATTGGAATTACCAGCTCCCTCCTCAATGGCCCCATAGTCATTCGTTTGAATTTCCTGTGGGACATTTAACTAGTCTTGCCTTATGTTCCTTCCATTTCCCCCACAGAAAATAAGTTCCTGGAGTTCAGAGTTTCTGCCTTTAATTCCATTTTTAATACCTTATCCAGATAGCTGGCAAGCATTTTACTTCTCTTCATGCAGTATTATCTAGGAAAGAAGTATTATCTAGGAGAGAAGTGTGTTGTACACATAGTAGGTACTAAACAAATGTGAACAGAGCCGAATTATCTGCTGCTATACATGAGGGCACAGAAATGACAGTTTGTGGCTTCCTAGGCGTCAGATGTGTCAGCAACCCAGACCTAGGGAAGAAAGAAAAAAGGGAAGGCATTCTTTCCTTTTAGGAAAAATCAGTATGGAAGGGGCATAAGATATTCAGAGGTGGAAGAACTCTCATGTCATCTTTTAATATGTGGGAGACACTGGACAAGTCATTTAATTTCAGAAAGCCTCAGAGAGTTTAACAAATATTTTCCAAGGACAAAATACATCCTAGATGTTAGGGAGGCTGTGATGGAAATAGATTCCATGTGGAGAGGAAAAAAGATGATTAAATAAGGAGTAATATGGTAGTTTGGGTGAAGGACACAGAGTGGGACTTCTGACATTTAGTAACATCAAGGAAGACTTTCCAGGAGGAACAGGATTTCAGCTGAGACTTAGGGGAAGAAGACAGGCCAAGAAACTCAGGGATTAAGGTGGGGCTCCGGTGACAGTTGGGAAACAGTTGTGGTTCCACATGCAGAAGTTGGTGTGAGGTTCCAAAACAAGAAGAGAGCCACAAATCTCACAGAGTCTAGGAAAGGAAGGCTTTCCCAGCTGCGCCTGTGATTGGTGGCCTACTTGCTTCTCTTTTTCTTGCCTTTGAACAGTTACAGTAGTGAAGACAGCGTCACACTGGGAAACTGGAAAATTGAACTCCATCTGCCTGTGACCACTAACCAGCCTCACAGTTCCGAGCAAATGTTTGCTCTTTAGATTTCTTGCTTGTGAAGAAGGACAAGAAAGCCCTCTCCTTTCCACATTACAAAGGGTCTAAGGAAGAAACGTTTGCAGGTGCTTTTTAAAAATTCAAACCAGCTATAAGTGGGTGCTGCTGGTAGTACTTCCCCCAGTCATAAACAACACCAGCCCATTCATATGTCAGTTCAGTGGCTGGAGATGTGATTACGTCAGTGTTTTTACCTCCTGACTCCCATTCCCAAGGGATCAGGAGATAAATAGCAATTTCATTCTGATTGGTTTGGTGATATTTCATTTCAGGTCATAATCAGATTTTGTCCAAAGGGGAAAGTATGCTATTAATAAAAAGTCTTTCTTTGATTGCAATATCTGTGATTACTCTGCCCTGCGGGATAGGGCAGACAGCCAG